GAGTGTGTTGGTACTGGTGATTAGCTCTCATTAGAGGTCATCTAGTTAGGCTAATTGTGTGTTACCGCCGTCACGATATTGATGGTGATAATTTATGGAGTGAGGTTAATGGTTGGTAATGTGTTGTGAGAGAGAGAGAGAGAGAGAGAGTGACACGCGTACAGGCTAAGAGAGAGATGGACAGAGAGAGAGAGAGTGACACGCATACTAAACGAGAGAGAGAGAGAGAGAGGCACGCGTACAGGCTAAGAGAGATGGACAGAGAGAGAGAGGACACGCATACTAAGAGAGAGAGAGAGAGAGAGAGGCACAAGTGTACAGGCTAAGAGGAGAGAGAGAGAGAGAGAGACATTTATTACTAAACGAGAGAGAGAGAGAGAGAGATACGTATACTAAATGAGAGAGAGAGAGAGAGAGAGAGAGAGAGAGAGAGAGAGAGAGAGAGAGCAGAGAGAGAGAGAGAGAGAGACACGCATACTAAATGAGAGAGAGAGAGAGAGAGAGAGAGAGAGAGAGAGAGAGAGAGAGAGAGAGCCATGCGCCTCACTGCCCCAGGGTTATTATCACGGTGTGTGGCAGACAAAATCCTCATCAGGTTGAATATGTTGACGTAAGGATGATAGCTGGCAGGGATGACTGGTGAGGCGGCAGAAGACGACGAAGAAGAAGAAGAATGAGAAGAAGAAGAAGAATGAGAAGAAAGAAGAAATAGAAGACAACGAAGAAGAAAAAGAAGAAGCAGAAGAAGAATGAAGAAGAATAAAGAAGAAGGAGAAGAGAGCAACTTCTGGTGGTGCTTATCGACACACAAAATCTTACATCTGAATTGAAAGAGCGATAAATATAACTGGTGCAGAGAAGAATTTATGGATTATCAGCCTCTACCTCTTGAAAATATTGTCTTTTTTTTTATTTGGGTGGTCGTGAAATTTATGATGGATAAATTATAACCCAGTGGACTCTAGGGCAATATTTTCACCTTGAATATATTGTGTTTTTTGTTGATATATTCAGAGGACGAATTTTTTAGTGAGGTTTATTGTTAGGAATGTTTAAGATCTGAGGAAATAATTGGATGTTTATTTATTTACTTTTATTCATTCACTCACTCAACACAGCATGGCCCCATCAACCAACACATCATCCATTATCACAGCACAATACAGCACAACACAGCATTCACCCATCAACACAGCACAACACAGCATCACCCATCAACACAGCATCACCCATCAACACAGCATCACCCATCAACACAGCACAACACAGCACAACACAGCATCACCCATCAACACAGCATCACCCATCAACACAGCAGGTCCTTCCCTCCATAAACCAACCCGTCTAAAGCTTCTATCACCGGCGCGACCTCTGATAAAGGCGATTTACATTTTTCTCTTTCTGCCTCTCTCTCTCTCTCTCTCTCTCTCTCTCTCTCTCTCTCTCTCTCTCTTTGTCTCTGTTTGTCTCTCTGTCTCTATCTTTGTTTCTATCTCTGTCTCTCTCTCTCTCTCTCTCTCACACACATCACTGGAGGATAATTACAACCACACATCACACAACTTTTCAGACCCAAGACAGAAGATATATCACTCTGTCTCTCTGTCTCTCTCCTATCATCTCCTTTCCTCCTCCCCCCCCTCTCTCTCTCTCTCTCTCTTTTCCTCGTCATTTCACTCTTTTATTCTTTTCTCTATTTCTCTCTCCATCATCATCTCTCCTTCCCTCGTAAAGAAAGATTCACTAAACGACTCAGGAAATACACTACGGTATCCTCATCTTTGGAACTTGAACGAAATTGACGAGAAAAAAAAAATCGTCACTGAATTATGCCAGAGTGTAGCGGAAACGACTCACTGGACGATGAAACAAAAGTTATGTCGAGTTATGGCCCAGGAAATATTATTGGAACATGAGAACGTAAACATATCCCCTCTGGCTGTGCTGTGTGGTGCTGTGTGGTGCTGTGTTGCTGCTGTGTGCTGTGTTTGGTGAGTTGCCTTAGTGCTGTGCTGTGTTGATGTTGCTGTGTGCTGTGTTTGGTGTGTTGGACTTAGTGCTGTGGTGCTGTGTTGCTGCTGTGTGCTGTGTTTGGTGAGTTGCCTTAGTGCTGTGCTGTGTTGATGTTGAGACTATAATCTATCAAAGCTCTATAATCGTTGTGGTTAAATTAGGTTAGGTTAGGTTAGGTTAGGTTTAAGCTAGGTTAGGTTAATACTGATCCTAATCAATTATTTTACGTTTTTTCTACATGATCACTCTTATATACACGCTAGAATACCACATTACCATCACCTTATCACATTTTTAAGTTAGCGCCGCCACGTTTTCTCTTATGCACGCGCACTTGTATTGATAAAATGAGTTCCGAACGGGCTAGTCGTGCTCCCGTGTACGACCTAAGCATTGAGTTACTTTCCTTAAGGGGTCGTATAAGGGGTTCAGTGTGGTCGTGGTCCCGTGTTCGACCTAAGAATTGCATTACTTTCCTTAAGGGGTTGTATAAGGGGGTCGTATCAGGGGTTCAGTGTGGTCGTGTTCATGTGTACGACCTAAGCATTGAGTAACTTTCCTTAAGGGGTCGTGTCAGGGGTTCAGTGTGGTCGTCTCCCGTGTACGACCTAAGCACTGAGTCACCCTCCTTAAGTGTTTAATGGAGATCCTTCTCTTAAGGGATCTTATTAGGAGCTCAAACGTTGACACCACTACTACCACTACTACCACTACTACCACTACCACCACTACCACCACTACTACCACTACCACCACTACCACCACTACCACCACTACTACCACTACCACCACTACTACCACTACCACCACTACTCTCTATAATAACAATAATTCACGATCTTTTAAAAGTACAACAGCCAGAAGCTAAAGAAATATACAAAAGACACAAATGATATATAAATAACAGACATTGACACAGGAAAAGGTCATTCAACACAGAGCGGTTACAACACATAACTGAGAAGAATCGTAGACTGAATACACATATGATCTACAAATAACTGAGGACTTTTACATTAGTTGGAATATATCTTTCGTTGTATCATACTGTTGTCACCCCCTTTCGATGTTCCCTTGGGTCACTGTGTTATCATCGCCACGGAACATATGGGCGTAATGAAAGGCGTCTTTGTGTCAGGTACGCCAGGCCGAGGTGGAAGGTCAGTTGGGCAGTAGACATAGTGAACAGAACACACACGAAAGTTTGCGTGTGAGGTGAACGAGCTCCAGCTTGTGTGTGTATGTGTGTGTGTGTGTGTATGTAGCACAATCTTAGTACCTTCGGAGTACCAATATCAACAGCTCGTTCATGTGGAAAGTACTCTGGGGGGAATACCAACGTTGACAAGTGAAAGACACCAAACCTAACGACCAGCCATGAATACTGGGGGATACTGACGCCCGTGACACGTAAGTGAAAGAGAAAGATATAGTTACCTTGAGTGACAAAATGTACATGTAAAGGTAACATAATCCTGGACGCCTATATACCAGTAGTTGTGTTATGGATCAGTAACATAATCAATGTAACGTGGTGATATGATCAGTGTTTTCTATATATAACTGCGGTGTTATGTTCAACAGGTTTTGACCAATAGACCATTGCGTCCACGTCATTGGGCTATCATTCCTACCTGATCACGATTATAACACAGTGTGAGGCCATTTGAGATTTGATGCGATTTTGGTGTCGATAAGCAAGTTGTAGACGAGGAATCACAAGTAGCAAAAGATGGCGGTGGCTAGAGAGAGTTGAAAAGACCAGTGTATGAGTAGAGAGAACTTCCACAAACAGCGGTAACACTTTTCTCTGGGTCTCCACTCACCTCGTCACAAACTACCGTATCCAAGTTATGGCATAGAGACCCTGACTAGCGTCCTGCCCGAGTAAACGCAGACGACCACCCTAGAACGAGCGTCTCTGTTGACTGGTCAGATCTTACGTGTGTGTGTGTGTGTGTGTGTGTGTGTGTGGAAGAAATTTGTAGATGTACAGTATATGTGAAACCCATAGTAGAGTGAATGTGGGTGAAAGGTAGTGGTGGTGGTGGTGGTAGGGAGGGTGATGATGGTAGTGGTGGTGGTGGTGGTGATGATGAGATGGTAGTGGTGGGTAGAGGTGGTGTGGTGGTGGTAGTGGTGGTAGATGAATTAAAGGTGTGGTAGATGATGATGGTGGTAGTGGTGATGGTGGTGTGGTGGTGGTAGGTGGTGATGATGATGATGTGGTAGCATGTAGTTGTAGTATGAGGTAATGTAGCAATGTAGGGTAGTAGGGTGTGGTAGTAGTGGTGGTGGTGAGTAGTGTATATAATACTAGTGTGTGTAGTGGTGGTACTAGTGGTGTGTGGTGGTGGTATTGGTAAATTGATGGTGGTAAATATACATCATCTTTAACTAGACCGCTACGATATAACCGGCTTTACTCTGCCCTAGATTCAGACTTTTGTACCCACCAATACAAAGTCTGAATACAGGTAATGCGTCACAATTAGAAAGTCTGAGTACAGTTGTTGCGTCACAGTTACAGTCTGAGTACAGTTATTAAAGTCTGAGACAGTTCTTGAGCAGTTAAAGTCTGAGTACAGTTGTTACGTCACTTAAAAGTCTGAGTACAGTTGTTGCGTCACAGTTACAGTACAGTCTTCATATATAATTCAGGATACAATTTATATTTTAGTCTATTGTTTATATATTGATACAGCAAATACATAATATAAAACGTTTATTTTGTACCCGAGTTCAATGACGTGAATGGAATTGTACCTAAACATGCTACCTGTATTTCTACCTGTATTTCTACCTGTATTTCTACCTGTATTAGTACCTGTATTTCTACCTGCATTAGTACGTATATTTCTACCTGCATCATTAACTATCCCGGCATCTATACCTCACACTAGCTCCTTTAGTCTCTCACAAAGTCTCTCAACTCAGCCTTACAGTCATCAGCATATATCTCATCATATTTCTCTCTTCTTCCTCAGGTGAACCAGAGGTGAGAGAAACAACACATGCACAGGAGTGTACTGAGCCTTGACACCTCTACACCGACTGGTATTCTCAAGGTTAGAAATATGGAACGACATGAAGATTAGCCCCCCTAGTTTATTTCATCTTCAGATTAACTCATCAATCTTCAACTCTAACAAACATACCTAACCATCCAACTAAATCTAACCTAATCTAGCCTATTGAAACCTAACCTAACCTAACCTAACCTAACCTAACCTAACCCATAACGCCGTAACTCATAAGCTCGTTTGTGGTTTGAGAGGGCTTAGCTCGTGAAATTTGTTGTGCCATTTTTTCCTAGTATGAAAATTGTGCCATTTTTTCCGAGTACATCGGGACTCATAGATGGACGGGATTCACGGACGGACGGATTCACGGAACGCATCACAAGATAAGCACACTTGGCCTCTTTGGACGCAATGAACAATAAAGCTCAATTTTCCACTAATGATAAAGAGTCTTTGAAGGTTTGAGCTCTTTAATTTATTCCTTTCAGAGAGTTTAAGTCCCGGAAGCTGTATCAACAAAACTCACTAATACACCAAGGGAAAAAATCTCAGGAGGATTGGTTAAGTTTGTTTACTGAGCAAACACTGAGTCAGGGGCAGCCTCTAGCTCTTATTTTGTACTGAACTGCTTCACACTCTAGTGGAGGGATGAGTGTGTGGTGGAGGTGAATGAGGTGTGTGGTGTGGTGGTAGGTGGGTGGGTAGTGAGGGGTTGGTGGTGGTGTGGGTAGGTGGGTGGTGGAGGTAGGTGGGTGGGTGGTTGGTGGTGGTGTGAAGGTAGGTGGGGTGTGGTGAGGTGGGTGGGTGGGTGGGTTTGGTGGGAGGGGTGGGTGTGGGTGGAGGTGGGTGGGGTGAGGTGGTGTGGAAGGTAGGGTGTGGGTGGAGGTGGGGTGGTGGTGTTGTGTGTTGGTGCTGGAAGGTGGATGTAGTGGTGGTAGGTAATGAGTGTGTTATCAAAATCGTCTAGAAAATTACATATGCAACCATAATAAATAAATAACCTTTACCATAGGAAACTTAAGGCATTTTCAACACACTACAGGCAATTGTTTAAGGTTTATCTTTGCATCGATATATTATAAAAGAAATTAACATCTAATCTTTAGTCAATGAGTCACCAAAACACTGCTATATCCTCGATAGTGACTCGGTAAACATGTTGGTAAAGGCCCTTTGATAAGATCTTTCTGTGTACGTGAGATACAGCTGGTCAGATTCCACCAGCGTAGGATTTTAAGAGGAGAAGAGAAAAGAAACGGGTATCAGCAGAATGAGAGACGCCCGAGTGCTAAGTGCTATAAATTCACACCAGCTACCGCATTCAGGTTTGAGATGAGTTCAAGGCATCTGGGTCTGAGGTAAACACACTTGAGGAGGATTCACAGGGATGGGAGATCAATGTGGAGAGAGAGAAAAAAAGAGAGAGAGAGAGAGAGAGACTCCGTCGACAACGTTAAGCCTCAAGAAAAGACAAAGTTTCCAAGAGGCTTAAACACCCCAGACTGGATCCCGGAACCTAACCTAACCTAATCTAGTCGTAACAGGAATTCCACCTAACATAATTTTAACTATACATTACCTAACCTAACTTAATCTAAACTAACCCACCCATAACCATACCCTTAACCTAACTAACCAACCCAACCTAACCAACCCAAACCCTAACTTAACCAACCCATACCCTAACTTAACCAACCCAAACCCTAACTTAACCAACCCCATACCCAAACTTAACCAACCCATACCCTAACTTAACCAACCCAAACCCCAACTTAACCCACCATACCTAACCTAACCAACCCAAACCCTAACTTAACCAACCCATACCCAAACCAACCAACCCATACCCTAACCTAACCAACCCATACCCCAACTTAACCAACCCAAACCCTAACTTAACCAACCCACACCCAACTTAACCAACCATACCCAAACTTAACCAACCCATACCCCAACTTAACTCCATACCCTAACTTAACCAACCCAAACCCAAACTTAACCAAACCAATCCTAACCAACCCAACCCTAACTAACCAACCCATACCCAAACTTAACCAACCCATACCCTAACTAACCTACCCATACCCCAACTTCAACAACCCAAACCCAAACTTAAACCAACCCTACCCTAACTTAACCAACCCAAACCCAAACTTAACCAACCCATAATTCAACTTAACCAACCCATACCCAAACTTAACCAACCCAAACCCTAACTTAACCAACCCCAAACCCTAATCTCTAACCAACCAAACCCTAACTTAACCAACCATACCCTAACTTAACCACATACCCAAACTTAACCACCCAAACCCAACTTAACCAACCCATACTAACCAACCCAACTAACTAACCTACCCATACCCAACTTAACCCCACCCATACCAAACTTAACCAACCCATACCCTAACTTAACCAACCCATACCCTAACTTAACCAACCCATACCCCAACTAACTCACCCTAACTACAAACTTAACCAACCCATACCCAAACTTAACCAACCCATACCCTAACCTAACCAACCCATACCCTAACTTAACCAACCCATACCCAAACTTAACCAACCCAAACCCAAACTTAACCAACCCATACCCAAACTTAACCAACCCATAACCTAATTTAACCAACCCATAACCTAACTTAACCAACCCATAACCCTAACTTAACCAACCCATACCCAAACTTAACCAACCCAAACCTAACTAACCAACCCATACCCAAACTTAACCAACCCAAACCCAAACTTAACCAACCCATACCCAAACTTAACCAACCCATACCCTAACTTAACCAACCCAAACCCCAACCTAACCAACCCATACCCAAACTTAACCAACCCAAACCCAAACTTAACAAACCCATACCCAAACTTAACCAACCCATACCCTAACTTAACCAACCCATACCCTAACTTAACCAACCCATACCCAAACTTAACCAACCCAAACCCTAACTTAACCAACCCATACCCAAACTTAACCAACCCAAACCTAACTTAACCAACCCATACCTAATCAACCCAACCCAAACAACCAACCCATACCAAACTTAACCAACCCATACCCAAACTTAACCAACCCATACCCAACTTAACCAACCCATACCCTAACTAACCAACCCATACCAACTAACCAAACCAAACCCAACAACAAACAAAACACCCATACCCAAACTTAACCAACCCATAACCTAAACTTAACCAACCCATACCCTAACTTAACCAACCCATACCCTAACTTAACCAACCCAAACCCCAACTTAACAACCCAACAACTCTAACCAACCCATACCCTAACTTAACCAACCCAAACCCTAACTTAACCAACCCATACCCTAACTTAACCAACCCATACCCAAACTTAACCAACCCAAACCCAACTTAACCAACCCAAACCCTAACTTAACCAACCCATACCCTAACTTAACCAACCCATACCCAAACTTAACCAACCCAAACCCAAACTTAACCAACCCAAACCCAACTTAACCACAACCAACTAACTACCCATACCCAAACCAACCAACCCATACCCAAACTTAACAAACCCATACCCCAACTTAACCAACCCATACCCTAACTTAACCAACCCAAACCAACTTAACCAACCAAACCCAAACTTAACCAACCCACCAACTAACTACCCATACCCCAAACTTAACCAACCCATACCCAAACTAACCAACCCATACCCAAACTTAACCAACCCATACCCTAACTTAACCAACCCAAACCCAAACTTAACCAACCCATACCCTAACTTAACCAACCCATACCCAAACTTAACCAACCCAAACCCAAACTTAACCAACCCATACCCTAACTTAACCAACCCATACCCTAACTTAACCAACCCATACCCAAACTTAACCAACCCAAACCCAAACTTAACCAACCCATACCCTAACTTAACCAACCCATACCCAAACTTAACCAACCCATACCCCACCCCAACCAACCCATACCCAAACTTAACCAACCCAAACCCAAACTTAACCAACCCATACCCTAACTTAACCAACCCAAACCCAAATTAACCAACCATACCCTAACTTAACCAACCCATACCTAAACTTAACCAACCCAAACCTAACTTAACCAACCCATACCCTAACTTAACCAACCCATACCCTAACTCTAACCAACCCATACCCAATCAACCCAAACCCTAATCTCTAACCAACCCAACCCAAACTTAACCAACCATACCCTAACTTAACCAACCCATACCCAAACTTAACCAACCCATACCCAAACTTAACCAACCCATACCCAAACTTAACCAACCCATACCAAACTTAACCAACCCATACCCAAACTAACCAACCATACCTTAACAACACAACAAACCAACCTAACTAACCAACCTAACCAACCCAAACCAACAAATAACCAACCCAAACCCAAACAACCAACCATCCCTAATAACCAACCTCCAAACTTAACCAACCCATACCCTAACTTAACCAACCCACCTAACTTAACCAACCATACCCTAACTTAACCAACCCATACCCAAACTTAACCAACCCAAACCCCAAATTCAACCAACCCATACCCTAACTTAACCAACCCAAACCCAAACTTAACCAACCCAAACCCAAACTTAACCAACCCATACCCTAACTTAACCAACCCATACCCTAACTTAACCAACCCATACCCAACTTAACCTACCCATACCCAAACCAACCAACCCATACCCTAACTTAACCTACCCATACCCTAACTTAACCAACCCATACCCAACTTAACCAACCCATACACCCTAACTTAACCAACCCATACCCTAACTTAACCAACCCATACCCAAACTTAACCAACCCATACCCTAACTTAACCAACCCATACCCTAACTTAACCAACCCATACCCAAACTTAACCAACCCATACCCTAACTTAACCAACCCATACCCTAACTTAACCAACCCATACCTAACTTAACCAACCCAAACCCAAACTTAACCAACCCATA